CCTAATGCCCCGACCCTTTCATACAGTTCCTCGTGGCATGACGCTCAGGCGTCGCCGACGTGGCCCCGCCCCTCGCGCTCCCAGGCCCCGCCCTCTGGCTCCTCTGGGCTCGCCCCAAGCCCGGAGGGCCCCGCCCAGCTGCTCGCTGCACCCGTGTCCGCCGCACGTCTTCCGGCTTCCTCTGGCCTCCGGGTCTCCGGACGCTCGCTCGTGGTGGCCTTCTCCCAGCGGGGACTGAAGCTCCCCCGCTCCAAGAACGGTGTGGGGGTGGGGCCGAAAGTTCCTGGGCGAGCGAACCTCTTGGCGTTTTTTGGAATGGGCTTTTCAAGCCCACCGTGTTTACTTTCTACCTAGAATCGCTATAAACCCTACCTCTGGGCTCCACCTTCACCTAGAGGCCGCACGGGTGGGACGCGCGCACTCTAGGTAAAGCCAGAGATTAGACACCTGAGCGCACACAGTGGACGTTTAGCTCAGGTAGGCCCACCCAAGGGCGAGGACCCCTGGCCCAGCCCCAAGAGCTGCCCACAGGGGTCCCCGGTCCCATGGAGCCACTTGCGGATGCCCTCGCCGTAGCCCATCCGCTGGTTCAGCCCCACTCTACGCTCACCTCTTCTCCACTCACTGGAAATGCCCTTCCTGCTGCCTCCAGACCTTGCTTGCCCTGCCTCACCTCCAGGGAGCCCTTCCTCCTCAGCCCACTCGGCTGCTGCTGACCCTGCTCTTGGTTTATGGTCCCAGGCTGCACTTAGCAGCACCTTTGAGCAGGGCCCCTGTCCCTGCCCAACAGTCTAGTCACTGCTCTGCATGTGGGCTACTAGGCAAACAGCCCCATCCAGTGGGGATGCCAGACACCACTGTTGCAGGGTCCATCTGTTGCAGGGCAGTCCAGTGGCCCTGGGGAGGGGCACCAGGAGGATCTGCAGCCCCAGAGCCATCACCAACAAGGAGTGAGTGGCCAGGGTGGTGGTGGTCTTGGGGGCGGGAGCTGGGAAGGCGCCTAGGCCACAGCTCCATTGCAGGCCTGGAGCCTAGAGAGGGGCAGATCTTGCAAGGTGCTCATCAGTGCCTCCTACTTGCCAGCCAGAGGGATGAGGCCCACGTTGGACTCCAACAGTCCCTGGCTTGAATCCTTGCTCTGCAGGTAGCCTGATAAGGTCAACTGCTGGCCAGACTGGTCCCTGGGTGGGTGGCCAGGTAGCTTGGGGGAAGTCCTACCCTGCTCATGAGGTCCTAGAGACAGCCACCAGCCTGGGAAACCGAGGACAAGCTCAGGTTGGGGATGTAGCCCTGATGAGGGGCAGGCCATGGGGGGGGCAGGCAGTGACAGAGGCCAGAGGAGTAGACAGCATCTCTATATGTGTGGGGTGGGCATGTGAGGCCTCAGACGGCTGACCAGATGGCCAGGAGAGGGTGCTGGCTCCAGAGTGAGGGTGCTGGGCCGGTGGGCTGTTTTACAAGACGCTGAAGGGGCCTGTGTCATGGCGCTTGGGTCTCCGCACACCCATGACCACCCCTGGTGTGGACGGGAAGCGAGAGTTGTAGCAGTCCTCCACGTGGTAGGTGCCTGGACCAGGGGTACTCCCTGCAGAGAGAGGAGCAAGTAGTCCGGCAGCCCGCAGCCTGCCCCTGGCTCATGGCCCCACTAGCTTCTTACCAGCCCAGGCCCCGGCTTCCTTACAGGCGCTGGCCCCGGAGGCAAAGGCAGGCGAGCGGCCCATGGAGGAGGCTGGTGACTGTGGGTTCTGCAGGACATAACCAAGCAGGACAATGTTACAGGGGGTGGGGCCCGGGCACTTCTTACTCAGAGCAATGTGATGAAGCCTGGACACCCAGGGGCATTGGCCCAGTTGCTTGGCCCACCAACCCAAGGTGCCCGGGGTGTGGCCCTCAGAGGTCCTTGGGGCTGTGGTGGCTAAGGGTCTCTCCCCCAGGGCCTTGTCCACCTGGCACCCTCACCTTTAGCTCCCTATTGACATCTTTGGCATTCTGATGGAAGAGGCTTTGTAGCCATAAGGTCTGACAGGCTCTGCAGCCCCAGCCAGCCTCTGCAGTCAGCCGGGGGACAGGGAGACAAGAGTGTGTGGGAGTCGGGTCCCATGTCCAGATGGGCCCCCCCCAAGGAGCAGGATGGGGGTGTGGGGTGCTCAGGGTCCCAGAGTTGCCTGGGCCTCCTACCTCTGGTGGAGGGCTTCCGACCGATGCTGTAGTGGGGGTGTGGGGAGAACTCACGTACGGACGGGTCTGGCACCGAGTACTTGGTGGGGCCGGGAACCTCCAGGTCAGTCAGGATGGGGGGCCGCTGGTCCAGCACTGGTCACAGGAAGGGAGCTCTGCATGGGGGTCCTTCTAGCAAGCCCCTCACACTCCCTGCTCCCCAGGACCCTCACTCACACAGCTCCCGGAGGGTGTGGGTACAGATGGCCTGGAGTGCCGGGGGCCACATCCTGTGCCAGGCGGCCCCAAGAGGCAGCAGCACAGAGATCCTGGGCCTGAGAGGGAGATGATGGCCATCTAGCCCTGCCCATCATGTCCAGCCCTGCCCACCACATCTGCCCAGCCCTGTCTACCACATCCAATCCTGTTCACTGTGTTCAGCCCTGTCCACAGCATCCAGTCTTGTCTACTGCATCCAGACCTGCCCACTGCCCACCATGTGGTCATCCAGTCCTGCCCCGTGTCTATCCACTTCTGCCCACAGCATCCAACCCTGCTGGCCTCCCAGATGGATTTACTGGCCGGGCCCTGGGGCCTTCTGTCCCAGTGGACCGTGGGTCCAGTGTTGGCCGCCATTGATGTAGAAGTTTGCCAGGAACTTCACGGCCTTCTGGTCAAAATTCATGTCTGCCGTCAGGCTCCCTACACTGCTGACAGCACAGGCCTCTGTGACCTCACTGCTGGCCAGGTGGTCGTGGGCCCCTCTGTTGCCAGGGCTTCCCCTGCAGGGCCTTCAGGACTCTCAACTGAGCCCATGGGAAAGGGTGGGAGTGAGGCCCCAGGAAGCACCTGAGCCAGCTGCTCTATGCCTCTCACCTGGCCTCTGGGGTCTCCTTGGGGGCCAGGGTTCACCTTGATACCACTGCCACCACGGAGGGTGGAGAAGGCGGGAGACCAGGTAGACGAGCAAGAGGGGTGGTGATGTTCAACTGGAGGCCAAGGAAGAACACAGGCAGCCCGGAGGGCTCTCCAGAGAGTCACTGAGAAGGAAAAACTAGGGTGATAGGTCCGTGTGGGCAGTGCTGCCCTGGGCACCCAGGGCACGTGTGGGCCCCTGCCAAAGCTGCCCAGCCAGACCAGGGGACATCCCAAGCTAGGGCAGCCAAAGTCCCTGTGGACTCCACTCAGACCTGCCCCACCCCTAGCTTGTGTCCCTGTAGAGCAGTGGTTCTCAACCTTCCTAATGCCCCGACCCTTTCATACAGTTCCTCGTGTGGTGGTGACCCCCCAACCATAACATTATTTTCGTTGCTACTTCATAACGGCAATTTTGCTACTGTTAAGAATTTGGTAACCCCTGTGAAAGGGTTGTTTGACCCTCAAAGGGTAGTGACGCACAGGTTGAGAACCGCTGCTGTAGAGGAAACAGTTTCAGTGGGGGCTGGGTGCCTGGGACGGGCCATGTAGCTGCCTACGAAAGGCAGACACTGGGTCCAGTGCCTCCGCTCATACTGGCCCGCTGTGGTCCCAGCCCTGGCGGCTCTGTAGGGAGTGTCCAGTTGCGTCCCTGACACTGAGTTCTCAGAGTGGACAACATGCAGACCGCTGGGCTGCATTGCCACTTGGTTCCCCAGACACCCTGGCCCTGGAGTGCGAGCTGGGGTGACCTGCAGGTGCCACCAGCCCTGAAGATGGAGAAGGCCCAGGCCCGTTTTTTTTTTTAAATACTTTTATTGGGGCTCTTACAGCTCTTATCACAATCCATACGTACATCTACATCCATCGTGTCAAGCACATTTGTACATAGGTTGTTATCATGTGCAAAACAGTTTCTATGCGAGCCCTTGGTATCAGCTCATTGTTTTCCTCCTCCCCCATCCTCCCTCCCTCCCTCATGAACCCTTGATAATTTATCATTTTTTTCATGTCTTATACCAACCACTGTCTCCCTTCACCCACTTTTCTGTTGTCCATCCCCCAGGGAGGGGTTATATGCCAGCCATCGTGATTGTCCCCCCTCCCTGCACGTTCCCCTTCCCCTCCTGGTATCGCTGCTCTCATGATTGGTCCTGAGGGGCTCTGGTTTTCCTGAGGGAGGCAGGAGTGCCTCCCAGCCTGCGCAGACCTGCAGCTGCACACGCTGCCCCTGCCTGCCCGCCCACCCGTGGTTCTCTTCCTGCTGGTGGTCAGGCTGCCTGTTGACATGACAGGCACCTGTACCTGCCTTTATGACTCCTGTTTCATACTGTCGGAAAGCCTCTGTGCACCAGACACGAGAGGTCAAGGGTTCGAATCTTCCCACATAGCCAGGACATGTTTAGGGGGACAGGGACAACTGTAGGCTGGAGCCCAAGACCAGGCCTGCAGCTGCTGTAGGGGGCCAGGGGTGGGTCCTCAGGCTGGATCCCCAAGGGAGGCCTGCTTCCCAGCCTCTGCAGCGTCCAGGCCAAAGCCCACCAGATGGGGCCTGCCGTTTGGGAGCCCAGCCCGAGCTCAGGTGAGCAGGGCTTCCCCCAGCCCCCTGGATGCTGAGATAGGAAGCAGCACTCCTGGGGGACAGAGGCCTTCCCAGGTGGGGTCCAACAGCCTCTTCACAATGGTCACCAGGCAACGGGGCCCCTCCCAGGGGAGGGACTGGACCCAGGAGCTACGGAGCTGGGAGGGCAGTGCAGAGGTGAAATGACAGCAATGCAGAAGCAGGGTCTCTTCACTCCGGAACCTCACTACATCCCTGGGTGAGAGGGGCAGGGCGAGATCATGCCGGGGAGGGGTGCCCACGCTTCAGGCTTCAGGCCCAGACAGTCTGTGAGCAGAAAAGGGCCAGCCAGCCGGTGGCAGAATCAGGGCTGGACATGCACTGCCCGAGATGAGGTCAATGGCCAGGGTCAGCAGCGCTGTGCACTGACAGACTGGAGCTGTGTCTCTCCACAGTGTGTGCACATGAAGACCACCCTTCTGGGTGCCTATGTGTGTGCACCCACGCACACAGGGAGATACCCGGCACAGGTGCACAGGTGCACACAAGAAAGCAGAGAGGCCGGAAGGGGTGAAACCCGACTCCCTTCAGATTCACTTGCATGCAGATCTGGAGAGTGACCCCTCCTTGTTTTAACCACTACGACTGCCTGGCTTTGTCATGGCCCCAAACAGAAATCCTATCCCTGTCAGGCACCTGCCCTGGTCACACGGACCTGCCCTCTGCCCTGCCCGTGCGCATGCCCTGTGTAGCTTGTTCGTATAAGCAGGGCTCCATCGCATGTGTCTACTTTCATTATAAAAACATCCATTGGGGAACCGATCACAATGATCGACATATGGCCCCCATCCCAGGGGGGCGGATAGCAGAAAAGTGGGTGAAATGAGACAGCAGTCAGTATAAAACATGAAAAAAAATGATAAATTATCAAAGGGGCATGGGGGCAGGAGGCAGGGGGGAAAATGAGCTGATACCAGGGACTCAAGTAGAAAGAAAATGTTTTGAAAAAGATGACAACATATGTACAGATGTATCTGACAAAATGGATATAAGCATGGATTGTGAGAGCCCCCAATAAAAAAAATTTAAATTAGAAAAGAAATCCGTAACAAAGCATTAACCCTCCCAACAGCTTGCACGTGTGGTCCAGGACGGTGCCGGCTACAAGTTCCCGGTATCAGTTTCCAATAGTCTCCGTCCTAAACAGCGACGCCCCACACACACCCCTCTTCGTCCTGGTCGCCACGATAGGATAGGCGGTTCCCCTTCTCAATATCCGCCAGTTCTAGGGACTTTGTCTGGAGGAGCCCTGGGGGAGCAGTGGGTTAGGTGCTGGACTGATAACCACGACGAAGTCAGCAGTTTGAAACCACTGGCCACCCCTGGGGAGAAGAGGGAGCTGTCTGCCTACTGCAAGGGTGGGCTGTCTGGGAGACTCCCAGGGGCAGTTCTACTCAGGGTCGCTGTGGATCTGCGTGGAATCGAGGGGTGCTCTCTGCTGTTCTCTCGTGACCGGCTATCTTCCCTCTGTGTGATGGGTGGGCACAGAACCCGTCTCTTCCTGGCTGGGTGCCCCATTCCCCACAAAGCACACGTGCACATCACCCACGTACCACGTGTAGGAAGCTCAGAGGGGTCGTGGTTTACAAAACCTCTGTGACGTGCCTCACCGTTTCCAGAAAGTGGTCGGATCCCCTATCATGTGGGGTCCACACTGTGTAGGTCTGTTCTCAGCTACGGGGCGCTGGGCGGCTTCCACTTTGGGACCACGTGCAAGGTGCTGCTATGAACCCTGTACTCCTAGAATCTGTCTGAATCTCTATTTTCATTGTTCTGAGAATGTACATAAATGGGTGGGCAGGGACTACTGGCAACAGGGGATCTGCATTTGACTGGGGGCCACTAGGCTGCTTCCTATATATCCACAGGGGGTGACTGTGGGGATGAGGAAGGGTGCTTGGCCCTCATGCTTGGGCACTGCTTGGCTTTGAAATTAACAATCCCATGTCCCCTTGCTCACTCCTCTGGGTTATCACATAGACGCCCAGCCCCTCCCTTGCTCCCTATGGCTTCAAACCTCAGGTTCACCATCATCCCCCAACACAAAGACCTCCACCACCTCCCAGGTCACGTCTGCATCTGCTGGCTACTGGCTGCCTGGGGGTGGTAAAAGTCTAAATGCATCCCATCCAATCCTTTCTGGAGGGCCCTCTGCTGTACCCCAGGATTCCCTAGGCTTTAGGCAATCCAGGGCCACCCTGCACCTGCCTCCTGAGGACAGGCTCTTGGTCTTTGTCTTTGCTGGGAGGGGTCCAGGACACATGGACACCCAAGGGTGGTGGCGAGCCCCTGCAGGGGGTCTTCCAGGTGTGAGTGGTCAGGCAGCTTGCTGCAGGGTGAGTAGCTCTAAGTGGGTGGCAGGCTAGCTCTGTGCTCACAGCCCTGGCTGCCCTCCCCTCCCCGCAGCTATGCTGGCTTCTACCCACAGCTGCGATATCAGGTGGGCAATACCTATGGGCGAGCCACAGCCCAGCTGCTCACGGACCCCAGCGTGCGCAAGAGCCCCTGCTCGGTGCTGTCCCCGATGTCCACAGCCAAGTTCATCGAGGACTTCAGCAAGCCCAAGCCACCCTGGGTTCCCTGCAGGGACCTGATGCAGCCCTACATCCCACATTACACGGGTAAGCTGCTGTCCTGCCTGCCCACCCACGTGGCTGCCCACCCACTCACCCCCCTGCCCCACTCATCAGCTGCCCTCTCTACAGGTCTCAAACCTCACAAAACCTTTGAGATTGTGGGCCAGTACCCACCCCAGGAGCTGGCCACCGAGGGGCTGCTGGGGACAGGCAAGAGGTCTAGGCAACGGCCTGCCAACTACATGCCTTACCCACCCTGCCCACCCTGCCCACCCGGCAGGAAAGAGGACATCAAAGACTTTGGACACCCAGGCCTGCGGCTGGCATATGGGGAGGACTGGCAGAGCCCTCACCCCTTCCAAGACACTCAGTCTGTGAGACCTCAGTACCAGGTAACTGGGAAGCTCAGTCAGGGGACAAACCCCACTGGGATCCAGAGAATGACCTGGTGCTCCCCCACCAGCTATACCACTACCGGAGGGATGAATGCCTGCCCCCACCCCAGGAGGCTGAGACTCTGGACGTGGGCAGGTACCAAAGGCTGCCCCAGCTTGACCACCCCAACCTGATCCAACGAAAAGCCATCTCAGGTAGAGTGCAGCAGGGATGAGACAGGGATGAGGGATAGCCCCTTGGGGCCCAGACGGCGGAGGGTGAGGGAGGCCTGCCCTGTATGCTGAAACAGGTCCACGACCTGGTCTGATTCCAGTCCAGGCAGTCCCAGGGTATGGGGGGCTTGGAGCAGACCCTCTTGCCCTCCCTTCCTGCAGGCTACGCGGGCTTTGTGCCCCGGTTCGCCTGGGTGATGGGGATGAATTACCGGGAGGGAGTCACACACGCCATGGATGAATTCGACAGGAACCAGGTACAGCTGTCCCATCCCTGAGGGTCCCGGGGGAGGGCTGCTTGAGTACCAGAGTTCAGCACACACATGCAAGGCAAAGAAAGATGCAGCACATGGCCCCTTCGCTGCTTCTCTGGAGGGGGATGTGAGGGTATAGTGATCTAGGGAGGGGGCTCAAGCTACTCCCTGCTCCCCAGCAGGCCTCCCTACCCTTCCCTGACTGGTCTGGCCCCATGGGG